GTTTGTCTGAGTTACTGCCAAGGTCCTTATCTGTTCGTTATGCTTGGCTTTCAGCCACCAAGGTGTTGGTGTCTTGCTATTAAAGTACATACCAGTTAAGCTTGTCTCGGCAGTCGTTACTGGACAGAGGAGGGGGTCAGAACATAGTAGTAGTAGTAGTGACGTTTTGCTCCAGTTGAGAACAACTAATTGGTAAATATAACCGATGAGGGCACGTCGTTACCTCTGCAAACATGGGTTAGACAATATTTATTTGAACACGCATGGTTTCTTTGCGCACGCAGTTACACCAAAACAAACGAAAGCCTTTGGTGGAGGCTAGCGTGAGTCATCCTTTCCACTGTTTCCAAACGTTGGCAAAGGAAGAACCTGGATGAGGAGCTCCACGGGATGCTGAACGCAGCACATTTTGTGTCGTGTGGGAAGAAAATGTTTGTGGTTTCAAAGAGTCTTTCGGGACAGATTCCACGGGTGTTCTCTTAACGGGCATCGAGCAGCCGAAGGGAAAATGGGATGAAGAAGAACCGGTAGCCTCTTTTCAACATCCTCCCTTGCTTTAGCTGTGTTGGCCTCTCAACCGATTGTCTAAAGTTGGATTGGATTTTGGACCATCACAAGATCGGTCGAGGCTCTGAACTGATTCCCCAAATGAATTTCAACGTTGAAGCGCTTGAAATTCGGGCTGCAGGTTGCCGGTTTTAAAGTGTGTGTGTGTGTTTGTGTGTGTTGTAGAGAAAGAGAGAGACAGAGAAATGTTTAAAAAATACAAATATTCCCCCAAGAAATGTACAAAAGGAGTAAATTAGAAAAGCTTGTTTCCTATTCTTCTTGGATCATATCCTTCCGCAAGAACAGTAGCAGGAATTGGATATGTTTAGGTTTTTTTTTTAAAGGACTAGAAGTGACATGATAGTGATGTTCCAGTACTTCGGGGGGCTATCACAAAGAAGAGGGGGTGGTCAACTTGTTTTCCAAAGCCCCTGAAAGCAGGACAAGATGCAACGGATAGAAATTAATCAAGGAGAGGAGCAACCTGTAATTAAGGAGAAACTTACTGAGAGTGAGAACAATTAAACCGTGGAAGCCTTGCCTTCAGAAGATGTGGGTGCTCCATCATTGGAGGCTTTCAAGAAGAGATTGGATAGTCATTTGTCTGAAATGGTCTAGGTCTCCTGTTTTGAGTAGGAGGTTGGACTAGAAGATCCCTTCCAACTCTATTATTCTCATTTCATTCATTCATTTTAATTTATTTGTATGCCGCCCTTTTCCCTGAAAGGGACTCAGGGTGGCTCACAACTCAAGGGAGGGGAAAAACAAACAAAGTTACAAAA